GGGGAGGTTCTCGACGGCCGCCGCTAGCGGCGGGGCTCCCGCTGCGGATCGCGGGACCCCGTCGCTAGCGGCTGTGGTCGCATCCTTGCGGCTCATAATCTCCGTCCTTGCTCAGGCTCGGCAACAAAGGGGGTGGTCCGCCCCCTTCATCACTTCCGCCGTCGCTCAGCTGCTGGCGAAGCGACGGCGAAAGCGACGAAGGGGGCTCGGGGGAGTGTTGGGGTTACGATTCAGCTTCTGCCGATTCGTACGATTGCGGGCGCCAGCCCAGCAGCTTCATGAAGTTCTTGCCAAGCTTGGTCTCCAAGACCTGCATGAACCACTTTTCATTCGCGAGACTGCAATCAAGCAGCAACGCGGCCATTCGCACGGGCGTGTGATTGAACGCGTCGCCGTAGACTTCGAGCTTCTCGATGACGCTCGGCATCAACAGAACCTGCAAGCGCGTCTCGCTGTTGTTGGCGGCTCGCAGGAGGCCCGGCGGCGCCTTGGTCTTCTGCAGGGCCTCCAGACGCGTTGAGATGAGCTGCTGGACCTTCTTTGGGGATTCGGTCGCGAACTCCAACAGGACCGCAGAGAGCGTGCCCTGGGTCCACTCCATAGCCTGGGCGTGATTGGCAAGTTCGTCGGCGAGCGATTGCGAGACCGGAATCTGGCGTTTCTCGGTTCGCTCTTCGGCTCGGGTTTGTCGCTTTGGCATCGATTGTCTCGCTGCGATTGGCGTGTTCACTCCTGGACTTTTATGCCCAATATTGGTTCTCGTCAATTGGAGAATCGCAAAGAGGGGGCGATTCGTGCTAGCCAATGGAGCGGCGGAAAGTCCGGAGTACCTCAGCTCCGGATCGACAGAAGGGGCTCGCGGGGCATGATGCAGGGCCCGGCGCGGGGCTGCCGAGAAGTTTCACGCCGGTGCAGATTGACTCGCCCGCCAAGCGCCAAGGGCTTATCTTGAAGAATGCCGCGTATGCACACGGCTAATGCAGAAAACTTCTGTCCAACTACATGACGGCCGACTGAAACGGTAGTCCTATTGCTACACCGTCCGAAGTTTGATGAAGAAACGAATCCTACTGATCTCAGCTACGGTTTTCGCGGTTTGGTTCTTTTTCGGTGCCTATCGCGGACTCACTGACATTGAAATCGGCGAGTCAGTCTCACGCGTGGACTGGCTCCCAGAAGAGGCAACCAACGTCTCTTTTTACCGCTCATACATGAACACCGCCTACGAGTTCGATATAAGCGAACGTGGGTTTCGCGATTGGTCGCGATGGGAACTCGAAGAGATTACCGAACCAGTGCGGATCCCTCGGTATTTGGCATACTCGACACCACCAGCGNNATCCGACGAGTGAAGAGATTGAGGCATTCGCATGGGAACAATCGAACCGGGCCGCGACGATCAAGAACGGTCTATATTATGGCTACCTGCAAGACAACGGCGGTGGCATTTGGGTTGGCTATGATCGCGAATCAGGACGGGCATTCTATAAATCGGCACCTCGATGACGCTCTGTGATAAGAAGGCGGGGAACGATGCGATGCAACCGAGTCGGTAGGATGTATGGTCCTGTTGGTATTTCCACCCATCACGCCATCCCACCTTGGAACTAACTGCGTCGGCTTCATCGTTCTCCGCAGCTCGCCAATTACTTGCAGAGCTATTGCAGTAGA